GAAACTCCTCCACCCAGGGGGCGTGGCTCTCAGCGCTCTCACCATTGGTCTTCCGGAATTCCTCCAGCAGGAACTGAGCTTCCTCCTGGATCCTCTGCTCAATGGTCTTCTTCCCCATCCCGAAATCTCTCAGGATTTTGAGGGAGAACCGTCGCAGCTGCTTCCAGCGCTCCCCGTTGGCAAAGACCACGCCTAGAGAGAAGGGGACCCAGATGACGTCACGGCAGCCAGGATGGGCAGGAACGCACAGGAACGGAGTTCCGGCTGGCTCCCGAGTTGGCCACGCCCAGCAGGAACTCATTAGCATAATAGGCCACACCCAACAGCAGGAACTCATTAGGATTGGCTACATTAGGGGTGTGTGGCCTAACATGCAAAGGAGTTCCTGCTACAAAAAAGGCCCTGGGTTTTGACAACAAACAAGGTAAACAGAATAAGGAGCAAAAGGTGGGTGTGGCTGGAGGACCACACTTCTGGTAACATGTGGGTGCGGCGTAATGTGCCAATGAGTGGTGCTGTCAGGGGTGTGGCCCAATAGGCTAATAGGTTCCTGCTGTTGGGTGTGGCCTATTATGCTAATGAGTTCCTGCTGGGCTTTTTCTACAAAAAGAACCCTGAATGGAACCATCTCTCTCTCCTGCTACTCTTTTTCGTCTCACATCGCAGACCTCACACACACACAATTCATTGGCCTGGCTGCAATGGCTGCTGGCATCGATGCCGTTTTGGAGGAGAGAGGAGGGGGCGGGTGACACGGGGTTGCCAAACTCCAGGTGGGGCCTGGGGATCTTCTTGAGTTACAACTGATCCCCAGGCTATAGAGATCATTTCCTCTGGAGAAAATGGCTGCTTTGGAGAGTATGCTGTATGGCAGGCGTGTCAAACATGCGGCCCGGGGGCCGGATCAGGCCCCCCCTGGAGGGCTTCTATCAGGCCCGCAAGGGACTGGCTGTCTCCTGCTTCTTCCTCCAGTTCTGCTGCTGCTGCTGTGTCATCGCTTGCTTTCCCAGACTCACTCAATCGCTCAGGAGAGATAGATTGGCAAGGTTCTGCTCCCTGCCCTGGGCTGAGGCCCCTCACCCCTCCCCGATTGCAGCAGCACAGACATTTTGATGCAGTAATTCAGAGCAAGAGGTGTCAGTTATCAGAGACTGTTAAATAAACAAAATATTGCAAGAATGCTAATGTTTCAAGCGTGTTTTTATTTTTTATTTTATTTTAAGTAAGAATATATTTGTGTTTGTATCCTTTATAAAATTTGGATCTCTGCTACCTGGCGTTACATTTTATGACACACGTGGCCTGGCCCGACAAGGTCTAATTTATGTCAAATCCAGCCCTCCATAACAAATCAGTTCGACACCCCTGCTCTATGGCATTATAACCTGCCTGTCCCTAAATCCTGCCTTCCCAAGGCTCCACCCCCAACTTCCAGGAATTTTCCAACTTGGAGCTGGAAGCCCTAGCCCAGGGGCCAATCAGTGGTTACTAGCCACTAGGCATGCTGACACTGGAACCTCCGTGCTCCGAGCCATTGTCGACAGGTGCTGGGGAGAAGGATCGGAGAGAGTCCATCTGCCTCTTGCCTGTCTTGAGAGCTTAGCAGGATTCACTGTTGGGCACAATCTCCTTATCAAGGTGGACCTTGGGTATGAACCCCTGAAGCACATTGGTTCTCTTCCCGGGCGCTGCCCAGCAGAAATGCCAGGGGTCAAGCCTCCTTTGAGCTCTCTGCTCTGTGACTCAGAAGCCCTGATTCGTACACTGAGATATGATCAAAGAGGACCTCGGATCTTGCTTTCCAGGGCCAAGTCCAGGCGCTGCAAGGTTCCCAGACCGATTCCCCTGTATCAACGCTCAGGACAGAATTATATGGAAGTGAATGAACTTTCCTTTCCGGCAGTGTTCATTTCGATCCTGCCGACACCAACGGTTGCAGACACTTTCCCAAGAGTGTTCTGCGTGCAGTTGAGGCGGAAAGGAAACAGACGGATACCTACAAAAATACCAACAGAATTTCTGGGAAAGTCTCTGCGGTGCTGAGATACACAACACTTTTGTCACGAAGGGAACACAACTCTTGAATCTGATGGGGAGATGTTGTTTCTTCCCAGGACGGGTGACTCCAAGGAGAGCAACGGTAAAGAAGTGATTTCAAGAATAGACCCTTGCAAAATACAGGAACCAATGCAGGGCTGGGGGGGGAGGGGGAGGTGTCATTTTAGTTAGGGTTAGTGAACCAATTAGTTGAAGACAGAGAAGGAAGAAAGGAAATGAACTGGGAAGGGCTTTGCTAGAACAGAAGAACAGAAGAGACGCCAATGTTGGCTCAGGCCAAAGGCCCATCCAGTCTAACACCCTGTGTCACACAGTGGCCAGAAATACCAGGGGCCATCAGGAGGTCCACCAGTGGGGCCAGGACATAGAAGCCCTCCAACTGTTGACCCCCCCCCAAGCACCAAGAAAACAGAGTATAACTTGCCCCAAAGCCCCTATCTATACCTTGTGGCTAATAGCCACTGATGGACCTCTGCTAGGAAACCAAACACCAGCGAAATGCCAGATTTTCACCATAATACTTCCAAAAGGGCAGCGGGCTAGAAGGGGCTGTCATAAAACCTTTGTTTGCCAGAGCATTTGGAAGCAAAGGAATGATCTCTGTCTGTTTGTGGAGAGGATTTGTACCTGCCTGCCTCTCCACATCTTCTCGCCATTCCTGAGTGTCCCAAGGGTTATCCTTTAGCTCCAAGAGGACAAAACACCTTAAAGACTAACAGATTTCTCGAAGGAGAAGCTTTCCTGGGCAAGGGACCCCTTCCTCAGAGGCATGAAATCTCCAGGACCCTGACAACGACCCTGCAAAGCGAACAGCTGGTTTTAGTGCGACAACGGATGGGTTCTGTGGCACCCACCCCTTGCCAGGCAAGCATTCCGCCACCTCTCTTGTTCTTCCTGGCAGCCAGTCGGCAAAGCTGGCCGTACAAATATTCAGATCAGCCAACCTAACGAATTTGGTCGTTTGCCCAGCTTCCGCTGGGAGAGGAGCAGGCAGGCACTTGGGGTTCCCAGAATGCCACGCTGAAGAGAGAACTGGCAGATCCTTTCCTGCCCTTTGCGATGGACGTGAACCAGAAGAAGAGACAGAGGAGAGACGGGCAAAGGAACGAGATGCCAAAGGGGAGAGCAACCTTTCTCCGGCTGGAGGGAAACCAAGAGGAAGGTACAGAGTGGTTGGCGGAGGGGTCTGAAAAGGGGTCGATAAACCTTTGGAGAAGAGATGCGGATAGAAGGCAAAGGGCAGGGTGAAGGGAAAACAGCAGCCCGATAAGAACATAAGAACATAAGCAGAGCCCTGATTGATCAGACCAGCAGTGAGGGTCCGTCTAGTCCCACATCCCGTCTCACACAGCGGCCAACCAGTTCCTCTGGAGGTCCAGCAACAGGGCACAGAAGCTGTGGTCACCCCCTGATGTTGCCTCCTGGCGCTGGGGTTCAGAGGCTGACTGCCTTTGAATGTGGAGGTTCCCTTTATCCACCAGGGCCAGTAGCCACTGGTGGACCTCTCCTCCATGAAAGTATCTAATCCCCTTTGAAAGCTGTTTATTCTCGTGGCCATCACTAGACTCTCTGGCAGCAAATTCCACATTTTAACCGTTCATAATGTAATGAAGTATGGTCCTATGGCTCAGCCTGAATCCATAGCCCATCATGGCAGCAAATTCCACGTTTTAACCACTCATAACGTAATGAAGTATGGTCCTATGGTCCAGCCTCAATCCACAGCCCATCAGCTTCCTTGGATGTCCTAGTCTACCCCATGAATAATTTTGCAAATCTCCCTCCTGTTCCCCTCCACCAATTCTGGCAATTCCCTCGAAGCTGAATGGAGCCGGTAATGCCCCTCCGCACGGCCTATTCACGGGTTCTCTTAACTCACCTTGATGAGAGATTTGCAGGTTTCTGCAGCTTTGATCTGCAGGAAATTCCCGATCACAGGCAGGGGGGTGGGCCCGGGGGGCAGCCTCCCGTGGGAAGACATTTTCCTCTTGGCCGTGATGACCACCAAGCAGATGGCCAGGAGGACGGTGAGCGCGCTCGCCAGCTCCATGGTGGACGTTTGGCCCCCGGTCCTCCTCCTCCTCTCCCCACTGTGGCCGCCTGACTCATTTTGCCCGGGTTCAATGTGTTTATTCAGGCATCGATTAGGCACCGCCTTCTGATGTTACACAATAGCACCGGGCAAACATGTTGCGTGCTTAATCTTATAAACTCCTGCCAAATTTAAGAGGCTCCATCCTAGTTAATCAGTATTGTGAATATCTAGTCCAGAGAATATGTCCGTGTCCTCTTGGTGGTGAGGTGGATTCCTAAGGCGCATCTTAGCCCTTTTGATTGTCGGTACTTCTCACAATGTTATGGGGCAGGGGGGACTCCTGCTGTGATATTTTTATGAATCTGGGACTGAAGCAGGGCAGGTAGTCGGGGATTTGACTACGCTGGCTTCCTGTGCCCCCCAGACCGTGTCCTCCAGTTTCTTCTCTTGGACATCTAAAGCTCAGCCACCGAACTCTGAAATTGGAGGCGACAGATGTCATGGGGAAGCCATCAGGAGCTGGCCATAGTTCTAGTGGCTCTGAGGCCGAATCTGCATATGAATTCTAGAACCAGTTTCAAGACTCCTTTACGCCAATTGCTTTAACACTGCTTCGCTTCCTGTTTCAGGTTGAATCTGCATTTGTCTTTCCCACCGGTGTCCCAGCCTTCTGACTCCATCTTCAAAAAAGCTGTCTACATTTGGTGTCGTTTTCACACCTCAACAGTGCTAGCATACTTTCACAAGTCCACATATGTTTATTGCCTTCTTGTGGTGACTCCACTGTCATTGCGCCTCCCCACTGCTTTAAAAGAATCTTCTCCAAACAACGTTCAAACAAGCATAGAGAAAGATGGTGTCAAGTGCAGATTCGACCTCAATCTAAACAGTAATGGAGGTGTATGCTTTGTTTGTTTTTATGTATGTTTTCAGAATCCGTTTTTTATCCACAGATGGCGCTTTTGGGCCATGCTTCAGTTTCCCAACCATCCTTTCCCATGGTTTTATGTGTTGATCAATGTGTTATTTTAAATTTCACCTGGGTGTGTGTGTGTGTGTTGCATCAAGCTGCCCTATATGAATTGCGATTTTACTCCTATCGAAAAAAAATTGATAAGATGAAAATGTGTGGTAGCGTTTCACCAGGTACTGTTCATGGTAAAATGAGTAAATGACCTTAGTCGTGGTCCTCTGTCAATTGCTGATCAATGTGTTATTTTAAATTTCACCTGGGTGTGTGTGTGTGTTTTGCATCAAGCTGCCCTATATGAATTGCGATTTTACTCCTATCGAAAAAAATTGATAAGATGAAAATGTGTGGTAGTGTTTCACCAGGTACTGTTCATGGTAAAATGAGTAAATGACCTTAGTCGTGGTCCTCTGTCAATTGCTGGCTTAATTGTACCCCAGTGCCTCTCTCTTTGCCCCTCGATCCTCGTAATACTTTTAACTCGCTTTTCCAATCGCGACGTTTCATCCAATCCAGTTTTCGCTTTCTCTGTAAACCCTATACTTGCTTCTCCCAGCCAAATGCACAGG